CCGTGGCCCCGAAATGTAGGCTCTATGACGCATGTGACATATCAATAAAAGTGCTTATGCTTCTTGCACATTACAAGTGAGTGAATGCTGGTGACTTCTATCATTGATTATAGCTGGGTACTGTCGCTGATACAATGTCACCACAATGGCACAACCCACAAGGTCAGTTCTAGAGAGCAGATGCAACCTGCTTGCTGTAATCAAATTGTTGGCACTTGGCAGTGGTCAGTACTGTGTGGTTGGCAAGCCATTGGATCCTTCTAAAGCAGCATTTCTCATCCTTTTTTCAGTCACGGGACCCTTTAAAAGCATGCAAAATATCAAGGCAAACCAGTCTAAAATTGAATAAAAAATTATGTAAAAAGCAATGTGTGGCTCCTCCAGAATCTATATCAGACCCCTATCTAATATAGGGGTCTGGTGTGGATTTTAAGTGGTGACCACACACAATGAATCCATCTCTAGAAATGACCCTCCATGGATTAGCATCATTAAAGGCATGATGTTGAGTGAAAATGTTGAGGTACCCCTGCAAAAGCTAGAAGGAACCCCAGGGTGCCACGGCACACTGGCGGAGAAAGGCTGCTCTAAAGTTCCAAACCCTGGGGCCCTGGCAAAACTGCTCATATAATAATCTGTCACTTATGTAAGTACTGTATATAATGTCAAAATTAAGTTGTATAATAACCACCAACACCTAGTTGTCCCCTTTCTAGCTCAGGCTAAAAAACATAGTAAGTGGGAAAAGCTATTGTACCCATAATGAAAACCAAAAAGACTCCAGGCCTTTTAAACAGTAATGACCGATAATAACATGGAACTGCTCCCATGGCCCTTTTCATCCATGCTTGGATTCTCATCAACAATTTAAGGAGCTCACTTGAATAAGTGAGATTTTTGTACATTTTCCAAAAACTTATCCAGCCCAAGAACCTCTTGGCATTGCTCTGAACTCTGCTGTATCCACAGGTGAAGTTTAGTGTTGTAAGTAGTTTATGCTGATGTACTATGGCTTCCAAAAGCTTTATTTCTGGATATAATCTGTAAGACTTTGCAAATGCACGTGGCCAGAATTCCTTTAGACCCAACTATATAAACCACAACCATGTCCACAATGAATTGTGCACCAATGATGTCTTGTTTTTATATGACTTCTAACTGACTGGAATTTATATGTTTAGGAACATATGAGCAGGACTGCTGAATGCAGAAAAAAGTATCACCTTCACACATTATGGTCCTCATGTATCAAATGATAAGTACAATTGTAAGAATCAGTCTATCTAGATTTTTTACATGGGTGGCTCCCAAAGTGTGATTCAGCCTATGTCATAATAATGGCCCATTCATGTATACAAAAGTGTTCAACTTCATATATACTGTAGCTTTCAAATGCTGATATCTCCATACGTTAAAATAAAACATGCTCTTCTCTCTCCCCACTCCCATGGTGTTCTTTTCACTGCTACAAGACTTATAACAACAATGTGACTTACATATACTTGCCATATTACATAGTCTGCATTTTGACACCATATTACCACCATTTACAGCTTCTTATGTTTCTTGTCCACTTACTAGACCATAAAAGAGAATTCTCCCTGTGTTCTACCATTTGTGCCAACTGCCTGAGCACAAACTCCAGCTTCCAGTGCTCACAAGGATGTTAGACTGGCAGCAAACTACTACACAGTGGGGTGAGAGCACACAGCCTCCATGATTTCAGCTATGCAGGGAATTATAGCAGGATAGTATGACACAGATTTCCAGCAGTTATACTAGCAGCACTTTTAAAATGCATTGAAAGCCAGATTCCAGTCAAGCAGCAAAATATGAATGCCATTCTGTAATTCTATTAGGACTCATACCTAAAGGCATTTATTTATCACGGTATTTATATAGAGCTGCCTTTTTATTCTTTATATACCTTATTTCTCTTTTCTTCCCCAGACTTCTCACAGTGGCCATTTTTTACTAAGGGCAGATTACTATATTTCTCTTTAGGCCTCATTCACACACGAATCGGCCTGCACGTACATCTCCGTGCGGGGCCGTACCAAGTAGCTGCCGGGAAGGACAGGTGCTGCGTGTGATTAGAACGCAGCCCCCTTCCTTCTCTATGGGCCTACGCGGCCGTACGCCCCCCTACGCTCACCTCATTTGCAGGTCCGTAGGGGTGCGGGTGATCGTATTCATACGCCGCCGGAATGGAACATGTATGCGTTCCGGCCAGAAAACCTGCACCCCTACGGACCTTGCAATTTCTGCACAACGCCTCTTGGACAGGCCTTAAGGCTAGTCCGGGGCAATTTTTTAGCACCCGGCCCCTAGGGCCTGTCAGCGTGGTGCACTGGCACTATTCCTTTATTTATTGCACCTCATGCACGATTGGCACATTTTGGTTTTTTTAAATTTTGGCCCACAGAGTGCTAGGGTGCAGGTACCTTCAGGGCCTATTCCCGATGCAGGGGAGGAGGTTCTGTGCCCTAATATAGGGTTTTCTGCCTCCTCCCGAACCAGGGGGTCTCTCTACCTAGTACTGGGTGGGACCTGTTTCGGCAGGTCCCCGAAGGATCGGGGTCCGCCAGTCTCCGGGCTGGTGGACCAAAGTATCTCAACCCCTGTCAGGAGCCTTGCGCCCCGGGGGGTCGGGAATTCGAGGTCCCTTCTTTATTGAAGAACCAAGCACCCTTGTGCACGTTTTTGTGTGCTGTGATTTCACGGTTCACTTTTTTTGTTCACAGGGGGAAGTTTGTTTTATGATGGAGTTTTTCTTTAAAGTAGTATTAAGGTCTGGGCGTTTTTTACCTTAATGCATTCTCTGCATTAGGGTAAAAACAGCCCAGCACCTTTTTTTTATCCCAGTCCCCCCCAGACTTACCTGTCAGCTGCGCTCGTCCCCGCCTCCGGTCCCAAAGTGATCCTCAGTACCCCGAACTTTCGGGTTGCGGGGGAGGATACTGATGGCAGAGGAGCCATAGGCTCCTCCTGCCATCAATCAAAGAAGGAAGGGGCGTGGTCTGCTACAGGGCTGTGTGTGTCTATGGACGCACACAGCCGCTGTGGGGACGAGTGCTCCTGTGTGCCTCCACTAGAACAATGGTGGCACCCGTGCAGAGGGCGGGGAAAGAGCATGGCGGGAACACACAAGAAAACGAGGAAAGAAATACTTTAACCACTTCCGGGCCGGCCGTAGTAAAAAAAACGGCCTTGTCTATTTATCCAAAGTGACCCGATCTTTTATATTTTACCAAAAAACTGGGTAATAATAAATGTTTCCTAACATAATGTAAAAAAAAAATTTCTTTAATTTTTCCTAATTATAGTAAAAAATAAAACCCCCAGTGGTGATTAAATACCACCATAAGAAAGCTCTATCTGTCCCCAAAAAATTGTATAAAATTCATTTCAGTACAGCGTTGCATGACGGAATAAACGTCAGTCAAAGTACTGCAGCGCTGAATACTGAAAAATGGTCTGGCCAGGAAGGGGGTCTAAACACCTGGTCTTGAAGTGGTTAAAAAAAAAAAAAACATCCTCCAGCAAAGGAGGGTCTCCTTAAAGGAGAAAAATAAATAAATACATTAGGCTTTAATATCACTTTAAGTGCTTTATTAATGCTGAAGTTTAATCTTGCCCTCTCTGGCTCCTCCCTCATCAACATGCAAATGTAGTTTTCAAATAAAATCTGTTGTCATTACATACCTTATCTTAGACTCATTGATGTAATCACCGGGTCTATGATCTGCACTATGCAATGCAGGCAGATCATGGCTGGTGGTAGGAGGTGGCAGAGGACTCTACCTATGTACAGTCTTCTGCTAGACCCTCCTATCAGCCATAATCTGCTTGCATTGCACAAATAGCTTTATGAAAACATTTCAGGAATCTGCATTGGTACTCCTCTGAAGACCCCTGATGCAAGCAGTGTGCTCTTGCAAATATCTAAATGCCTTGCTAGGTGGGTGTCAGTCTGGAGGTGTGGGCATTCCTAGGCAGACTGTATTTGCAAACAGACCACCCTAAGTAACACCCACATTGGATGCTAAGTCTCTGTAATTGAAAGAATTAAAATCCAATTGATGAAACTGGTGGACAAGGGGCAGTCAAGCTGGGGAGGAAAAGGCTAGATCAGGCGTGGGCAAACTCTGGTTCTCCAGTTGTAGTAAAACTACAAATCCCATGATGCATCTGTCTCTGGCAGTCATGGCTGCAGCTGTGAGAATCTTGCAATGTCTCATGGGATTTGTAGTTCCACAACAGCTGGAGAGCCTAGACCAGTGATGGCGAACCTTGGCACTACAAGTCCCATGAGGCATTGCAAGGCTCTGACAGCCACAGACATAACTCCAAGAGGCAGATGCATGTTGGGATATGTAGTTTTGGCACAGCTGGAGTGCCAAGGTTCGCCACCACTGGCCTAGACGATGCTGCACGTCCTCCAGCCGGTAAAATGAGGCAGGCTTGTTCTGACGTCCTGAAGCTTCTGATGCACATTGTGAGAAGCTCACAGTGTGCAGTGAAATAAAAGTAAACAATTTCAGTCCAGGAGAGGATCCTCTACAACTGTACAAGACTGAATGGAAGGTTGGAGCTCAGCTTTAACGGTATACATAACAGGAATAAAGGCTGGGTTATAATTGCCTACAGTTCTATTTTAATGCATGCAATCAACACTGAAAAGAATGATTTTGCAAGCATGGCAGATAATAAAAGGGAATGAATTCCCATTAAAAAATAACTGTCATTGAACAAGTGAAATGCAATGGCAGCACTGAGCTTTCTATACCCCCATTCAGTTGCCCCCCCCCC